TAATTTTTGGAAAACACCACCTCTAATAATGCCTTCATTATTTCAGGATGCTGATACACGGACAGGTCAAGTGCTCCTTGGGAGCGTTCCCACCTTGGCTCGCGTAAATGAGATGTGTGAATTGGACAGACACTTTACTTTGTTAGAGGTCCGGCCAAGCCCAAAAGGCCTGCCCTTTATCTGTGAGTTATGGCGATCGCTTCCTAATCATCTTTTCTGCTCCTCGAGTCCTCCGGCTCCTGTGCCGGGGACACACAGATGCTGTGGGCTGCCTCTTGTGAATACTGGCCTCCATGTGCCACCATTCACGCAGGGTCCCCAGTCCCCAAGGCAGGTGGCTTGCCAGGGAATCTGAGTAGATGTCCCCTCATCTTCCTCCTCTGCAATCTCATTACTCTCCTTTCTAACTTACTTCGATTTTTGTTTGTTTTTGCTACATTTATGTAAATATCCATGACTCCCTCTGCTCTGTACTTAACACCCCAGAGCCAGGACAGAGGACAGGACAGCAAACACCCCTGGAAACACAGCACAGGGTGGCCCGTTTGCCAGGACATGTCCTGTGGGAGCATAGGTGGCCTGGCCTGCCTTGGCCTGGGTGGGAGAGCCTGGACCCCGAAGAGATTTGCTCCTGTACCACAGACAGCTGCTGAACTTCTCCTTGACCCCATCCAGCTCTGTGCAGGGCTTTTGCTCCAAGGGGTGGGATCGAAGTTTGTGGTGGAGACTGACCTGCTAAGGCTACAGAACATAGAGTGAGGCAGCCCAGCTCAGTCCCATCCCTCCACACCCTCCCACACTCAGTCTCTCCTCCAAACTAATGTCAAACAGTAGTTTAAAGACTGTGTTCTCAAGGACCTATAGGATCAGCCTGCCAGGGCATCTGCCTGAGCCGCTGGGCCTGCCTCCCACTCCCGCACTTTAGTGGGACAAGGGTGGTTCCTCTAAAAAGCCTCCTTCGATTGGTTTGCTTTCTCCTGTAAGACTGTCAGTGTCCTGAAGTCTTCATCACACGTTTTTATTGTGCATCCCAACTCGAAAGTGCCTTGAAGAAAACAGTGTCTTCAATCTCTTTTCACAAGTGCTCCAAATAAATACTCCCACACTCAGTTGGCCTCTGCAACAGATGGCATTTTCCACAAATGGCCACATGAAGATCTCTCACCTCTCATGTTCTTATTACAATGTGACTAACACTCCTTCCACTAAGAGGTGAGGTCTCTGTTCCCTCCTCTGAATGCAAATGGAGGGGTTCTGTGACTGCTCCAACCAATACAGTAGGTGGAAGGAATGCTATGGGACTTCCCAGGCTGATCACAGAAAGAAGACAGCTTCCAGCTGGCTCTCTCTTTCCAAGACACTCAGTCAGAGAAAGCCAACCACCATGCTGTGAGGAAGCTTAACTAGCCCATGTGGAGAGGAACAAAGATCCCCAGCCACGAGCCAGCATCGCCCACCAGATACACAGTGAATGAGCCTTCAGATGACTTTCCCTCCAGCCTTGAGTCTTCCAGGACAGGCCCCACACTCTGTGAAGCAAACACCAGCCATCCTTTTTTTTTTTTAAATACTAGCTTTATGGAGATATAATTCACATACCATAAAATTCACTCTTTTAAAGTACACAGTTCAGTGGTCTTTAAAACACTAACAGAGTTGTACAACTATCACTACCATCTGATTCCAGGACATCCCACCATCCCCAATAGAAACCCTGCACCCATCAGCAGCCACCTCCAGGCCCTGGCAACCACCAATTCACTCTCTGCCTCCCTGGACCTGCCCACTCTGGACACTTCACACAAACAGAATCATACACTATGTGGACCCCTGTGACCAACCTCCCTTGCCCATCATGACCCCAAGTTTCTTCCATGTTGCAGTATGCACCAGCACCCCAGTCCTCTCCATGGCCAAGCAATACTCCATTGTATGGACAAACTGACGGACACTTGCGTCATTTCCACTTTTTGGCTATTATGAATAATGCTATTATGAACACTCATGCACAAGGTTTTGCCTAGACATACGTTTTCATTTCTCTTGGGTATATACTTAAGAGTGGAATTGTAGGTCATAGGGTAACTAGTGTTTAATCATTTGAGGAACAGCCAGACTGTTTTCGAAGAGTCTGCACAATTTGACATTCCTACCAGCCCTGTATAAGGGTTCCAGCCTCTACATCCCCTCCAACACTTGACATTTTTACTGACTAATCAGAGAAACTCCACAACCACCATTCAGGATGCATGGTTCCAACCAATCAAGACAGTGCTATGTGAACCAATCAAATTGCATAAATTTGAATCCTTCATTTGCATAAAAATGGACCAATCCGGGTGAGCACATTCTCTATATAAGCAGCCTCCCCTTTGTCTCAGGGGAGCACACTTTCTGCTTCCCCCAGTTTGCAGTGTCCACCTGAGTGAAGTCTCTCCCTTGACGGCACTCCAGACTGGGGACTCCTGTTGGCATTGGATTAGTGGTAGCAAACTTTTGTTGTCACCACTGACCCACAGAATGCTCCAGCATGATAAACGGTAGTTCAGTGATACTAGGCGGCCGTAGAAATGGGGGTAGATTCCATAAATGTGGCCACAGGAGGAAGAAAGGTCTAATCCTAGACCCTTCTTTCCCTTCACCACAGAGGGGCTCCTGCAGGACTGTGGCTCGGGGTCCACCTTTCTACTGGACTCATAAACACATTTCTTCAGTGAGGCTGGGCTGCTCTGGGGAAGGAGCCCAAAGGAAAGTCATTTACAACCCAAGCGCTCCTTTCCATCACACCCCTTGCCCCCACCCCTGGGTAGGCATATCCTAAGTGCCACCCAGGCAATAGTAAGAGGACATTCTCCCTTCCCAAAGGAAGAAAGTGCTTAGCCCAGAGAAGACTCTCCACCAACCCAGTGGGGTGTTGGTGGCAATACAGAATGGTGCCAGGCACCCACCAGGCTGAGGGTGAGGAGAACGGATCTTCTCACAAGCGCAGGCCTGGGCCATGGCCGAGAACAGGGACAAAGGCACCGTCCGGCCAGTACCACCCGCAGGTCTGTCCTGCTCCACTCTCTTACCCGATCCCTAATGCAAAAGACGGAAGGTTGGGGGAAAGTCTTGAGTGTGACAAAGTACTTTTTAGAAAGCTTTCTTCCCAAGCTCCACACGGACTGAGTGTCTGCATACGTTAGAACTCTCCTCGGGCCACAGCAAGGTAACCCTCAACCCCACAGGGAAGAGCAAATTTTGTTCCCCAAATGAACAAGAACAAGAGCTGAGCTCTCCTGGGAAGAGGCACCTGTAGGTCTTCTGCAGAAACAGGCAGCTGCTTTTCCTGACATGCAGGACGCATACATGAGGAAGGTTCCACCAAAGGAAAAGAAAGGAAATGATAACAATTTCAATCTCTGTCTCCCCCCTACACTCTCTCTTACACACACACACACACACACACACACACACACACACACACCACATCCAGTGTCCAGCCAGCATTCGAGTCCAAGGTCAACCGTCCACACCAGGCTTCCTCATTGCAGAGCAGCTATGCATCCTGTCAGCTGCAGGGTTTGGCTGTGTTCACAGGGAATGGCGTGCACCTTGCCGTGTGCAGGCACACTTATGACTCCAAGGGATCACAAGCTTCTCTGGAGCAGCTGAACTCCAAGGGGGCCCAGAAATGCCCACCACAAACGCTTTTCTTCACTCATATCCAGGGTTCCAATCCACTCCTGCCCTCTCCTACTCTAACCTGTGCAGCTCACAGCAGCTGACAAAGGTTTCAATGATGGCCCACTTTACTGCTCAAATCCTGCTTAAATGCAAGCCTTGCATACAAGTGGCTATAAGCATTTTTAGAAGGCAAACTCGCTGTGAAAGCAGATAAGCATGGTTCGTTTGTGGAGAGCTATGCCCAGGAAGGGGAGGTGAAGCCTGTCCCTGGTGGGTGGCACTCTGGGGGGTTGTGAGCACAGTGGATTTAAGGACAGGAGGAACCTAGCTTATGGCCCCTCCATTGGGGCTGGATTTTACTTGAATTAATTCAACACCTTAATACCTTTAGATGTGTGCAAAGGAGAAAGATTGACACTAGTACAAAAACAAACATTTTTCATACATATGATGCAATTGAGACAAAGGCAGAAATCGTAACTCGAGATAAAAATAGAGGCCCTTGCCCAGCCGGAATGGCTCAGCAGTTGAGCGTGAACCTATGATCCAGGAGATCAAGGTTCAATTCCCTGTCGGGGCACATGCCCGGGTTGCGGGCTCTATCCCCAGTAGAGGGCATGCAGGAGACAGCCAATCAATCATTCTCATCATTGATGTTTCTCTCTCTCTCTCCCTTGCCCTTCCTCTCTCTGAAATCAATAAAAATATATTTTTTAAAAATAGGGGCCCTTGCCCAGCCGGGCGTGGCTCAGCGGTTGAGCGTCGACCTAGGATCCAGGCGATCGGGGCTCGATTCCCGGTCAGGGCACATGCCCAGTTGCAGGCTTGATCAATGACTCATCATTGATGTTTCTATCTCTCTCTCTCCCCTCCTTTCCTCTCTCTGAAATCAATAAAGATATATTGAAAAAAAAAAAAAATATATATATATATAGGGGCCCTTTACCCATCCTCAAATGGACTTAAGACAGGAAAGAAGGAGTCTGCATGGAGGGGGCCAGGGCTTCCCTGGCTCCCTGTCTGGCCTCACCTCTCATGTAGGACACCCCCAATTTCGGTTCTCATTCTTGGACAGAGAACATTACTTACTCCTGCCCTAGAACATAATTTTATTTTAAAAGCAACATGCTACTACCACCAGTTTACACAAAAACCTTATTCCTCCAAATAGCTATTTGCCAAACAACTGGAACAATTTCATCTAACTGCTGTGACACTGACATCATGGGGGAGCGGCCACCAACAGGAAGCTCAAAAGCCTGTAGACTCGAGCAAACCAAGACTACTGTAAACCAGCAAGCATATTCCTTTAAAAAAAAAAAAGTAAACTTTACCTGTGGCTGTAGCGAATGGCTATCGTCAACCCAAGCTGCAAATAAGAGAGAAATACATATTAAATAATATCAAGAATATGCTGAAGTCAGCAGAAAATTAACTTAGTTTGGTCAATAGTTTTTAAATGTTTCCTATTATGCCCCACTGCAAATACTTCATAAATAACACATTTCAGGAACAGATCTTTAGTTTCAACTTAGCTTTTAGGGGACAATCATATTCTGAAAGGGACTTTAAGAGGCCTACAATGTTTCACTGTGGAGTAAATAAGAGGCGTCTCTCCTCAGGAAAGACTTCCCAAGCAGGGCTCCTTGTTTTTCCCCTTTTTTCTTTTTAAAATGTTTTTCATTGAGGTATAACTGACAAATAAAACTGTACTTATTCAAGGTGTACAAGATGGTGATTGGATAAGCACATGCACTGTGAAATGATTACCACACGTTACCACGGGTTCATTAACACCTCCATCCTTTCACATAATTATCTCTGTTCGGTGAGAACACTTCAGACCTGCTCTCAGCAACTCTCCAGTACATGACACAGCTTGCTGGCTATAGTCACCACGCAGTACATTAGATCCCCGGTGCTCATGCATCTTAAAACTGGAAGTTTGTACCTTCGACCAACTCCCCCCCATTTCCCACTCCAGCCCCCAGCAACCACCACTGTACTGTTTCTATGAGCAAAACGGGGCTCTCTCGACCCTGGAGACAAAGCGCTACAGATGGGACTGCCCCGTGCGCTGCTTCCGAGGTTTGCCTTAGGAGAGGACCACCGTCCTCTGTCCCCACCATCCCGGGGGACTGACCACCTGCGTCAGAGCCTCCCTGAGGGGTCACACTGACTCCGTAAGCTTGACACCAACAGGCCATAGCTCTAAGGACAGCAAGGCAGCAAACATGGGATCCACATGTGACACCAAGAGGAAGTGGGCAGGATCACTGGGCACAGCACCAGGGCGGGGCCGAGGCAACCCTGTGATTCCCTCTCTACTCTGCAGGTGTTGTGAAAACCTCTCAAGTATAACCGGGGGCCAGTCACGAGGCCCAGGCTCATTCACACAAAGTCAGTCATGGACCACGGAAGAGTCAGGCCAACCATGTCAACTGCAAACTGCATGGGTGTCAGCAGGTTATTTTAGCTCTCAGAGCCTCAGTGTTCGCAACTGTAAAATGGGCAAAAGAGTTCCTTTTCTCAGAGATGAATGTAAAGATTGAGCAATTTTCCTACATTTGTGCTTACGTGTGTGTGTATGTGCGCAAACTGCCTCACAGAAAGAAATATAAATATAGGCAATACCCCATTTATGAAAATGTCACATTCCAAAATCTAATTTTTAAGTTAGCTTTTGGAACTTTGAATGTATTTCACCATGTAAAACACATTCACGAGCCATGACAACAACTACATGAGTCTCATTCTCCTGCTCGTGCTTGAAAGATGGAGTCACTAGTTTAGGGAACTCATGCAGTTAAAACCCTAAGCATTACAATATCATTTCAGGCGAAAAATCTACCTAAGTTACCCATTAACATCCCCAAATACATCATTGCTGATTCCCTTAATGTGACCCCCATGGGGGTGGGTGACTTCTGTGGCGTTATCCTGGGTCTTGCATGATGACAGGAGGGTCCCCAGGTGGTGGGAGGTGGGAGGGGTGGGGAAGAGAGTTAGAAGTAAAATCATCGCTGAGATAAGAAAGCCCAATGCCTCTGTCCAGTGTGACATACGCAGAATCCCCCAGCTACTGTGTGAACTGCTGGGCTCCAGAATAATCCGCAGCTGTCACCTCTGCATACACCCCAAGTACAGAACTGACACGATGGGCCATCAGCAGTCTGGGCGGACAGGCTCAGCTTTACAAAACACGCATCTCAAAGTGAAGCATGAAATATATGTCCAGCTGACACTGTACCACACTCGCCTGAATTTATGCAATGATCTATCTCAACCAAGCCAGGAGGGTATTTTCTCTGCGACTTAAGCAAACAGCACAGGAAGTTGCCTCAGGGACAATCAGAAATTCAAAGAACAAGAAGGAAGCTATTTTGGGAATGAAATAAAAACAGAATCTGCAGCCAAAGGTCAGGAGGAGCAATTTACAGATCTCACGTGCTGGGTAATTTTTACGTTTTCTGGGGTTAAAAAGTTCTGGCTTACAGTTAGGCTAATTGTAAGATAATTTTTACGACTGAATATTTTGATAAGCTTTGGAGGGCTGTTTAATTGGTGGCTTTTCCACAGCTGAAAGACAAGCCATTGCTGGAGCAGGGGAGGAAACGGACAGAATTGGGAAAACGCAGGACAAGCTGTTAAATGGCCGCTGTGCTGGTTAAATGGGACTTGCAGATAAACCCCTCACAGAGGTGAATTTCAATTCAGCATTTTTATTAGTCTTTTCCTGGCTTCTGAATGAAATATGTTTTACTGTCATTTTTAAAGGATACCTCTGTGAAGGAAGAAAGTGTGAATCTTGGAATCACACAGGCCGCCCAGCATGTGCACAGGTCTGGTGACGCCAGGCCAGAAACTAGACGACCAGAGCCCGTGCAAAGGCACCAGGGCCACATGGGAACCAGCAGAGGGGGTGGATGGGAAGGCAGCATTCACAGTCATCTAGCAAACAAGGCTAAAACCCCGCTTGGAATGCACTGGGTCCAATTAGGCACCCCTGAGAAGGTGCTGGAACAGTCTGGAGAAGTCCCTGTGAGCCTTGCCACGAAACCCAGGTTGGAACAGGCAAAGGAAGCCAGTTAAGCTGCAGAAGGAGCTTCTCACACCTGCTCCTCACTCCTGCATATTATGTGACCCTAGAGGAGGCAGGGGTCATAGAAACTTCTGAGGTTTCAGTACCAAAGCACAGACCAGGTAAACGCAGCTGCATTATCTGCTGAGAGACAGGAGGAGACCCTTCCTCAGTCTGAGGAACCTCCGTCAACCAGTCAGGCCCCGCTAAGAAGCATTAGCAGCTCAGAAACGCTTTAAGCAAGTCTCACCGCTGCCTGTATGCGCACATACACACACGTGCATGTGTACACACACACACCTTACACACACACACACACATACACACAATGTGGGTTCTTCCATACTCACACTATCCATGCACACATACATTGCCCACTCATCTGTGCATAAACATATGCACACACATCTACAACTGCACTCACGTGCATGTGTGTACATATTGATAAGCATGTGTTTATGTGTGCACATACATGTGCGTGCATACACAATTCTCACATGCACACATATGTGTGCACCGGCACATACACATACATACAGGCATTCATACCCCATGTGCACAAACACTTTCAAATTCAGAGAGACCCACAGAGCCCCTGAGACAAAGGGAGGCCTCAGACAATTGACCCTTTTGTTGCTGGTCTCAGCAGGGACCCAGAGGAGAGGAAGGAGGGGGGCTGGGGGTTGGCCCCTTGACCCTGGCCCAGCAGGGCTGAGGCCCAGGGACAGGGAGGTCAGCGGGAGTTCTGAGCTGCCCCCCTGGGAAACTCCCCCCGAGGACATACTGTAAGTACTGCCAGAAAGCACTTAACAAAGCCCCATTTGGAATACTTCTTAGATTTTCACAATTTGTTAAAAACAAAATTAAATCACACTTTAATGGCAAGGAAAGAGTAATTTAACATTTTTCAAAATCTCCACCAGCTACAAAAACCTTTTTCCTGCTGCTTCAGCCTAAAAATGCTCCCTTTTTGGAACAGCTGACTGAGGCAGCTGTTTTGTATCAAGTCCGAGCGTTTTCTATATGACCCAGGGAGCTCAGACAACAGGCAGGCCTTCCTGCATTAGAGGGTAATCTGAGAATAATTTGCCATAAAACACCCAGAAGTGCCCCAGCTGTGGCCGGATATGCCCTATAAAGTACCACGTAGACCGCATGGATCTCATAAAACAATCTTAATAATTTCAGAAAATGCATTTCTAAAGCACACTTTTAAAATGTTTTAAAGGAAAGGAACAGTTGACACCGTCTCAGAAGGCAGCAGGGAACTTCCCTCTGGTGTCCATGGATTGTCAGTGTCTCTCCCCCGATGCCCACTTGACCGAGGGCATATCTGTCACTGCGAATCCATTTCTTACGGGCCTACCGTGCTTCGTGCTTAGTAGGCACTCTCACACACAGGCTGCCCGGGCAGGGGAGGGGCAAGAGTCCAGGAAGTGTCGGCCCAGCGTCACCCAGCTGGTGAGTGCTCTGAGTGCGAGTTCAGAATGTTCCAGACCAGGGGTGGCATGCTGGAAGGGGCACTTTTCACAGGGTCATTCACCAACCAGCCACAGCCCTGACACTGCCACTCCTCACCCCTCAAGAAAAGCTGGAAACCAAGGGTTTTGTTATAAAAACTCCCACCTTTTAAATTGATGTGAATATTTTCCAAATACTGTGTGAGCCAAACAAAACATGTCAGTGGAGTCTGGCCAGCGCGCCGCTGGTCTGCAGCCCGTCTGTGCACCTGCCGAAGCTGCTGTGCCTCTGCTCGGCTTCTCTAAGCCTCAGATCCGAATTAGTGAGTTTGTGACAAACCGGGAAAAAGCCTTTGTATTACTTCTGAGAGTCCCTTACTTTTCCTATACTAATGTGGGCCTTTTTCTTTAGTTTACTTCGTTTTAATTTCAAGATTCCAAAGATTTATAACATCGCGAAATTAAAAGAAAAGCTTATTTTCCTCCTGTTTTGTTTGTTTTTGGTGGGGTTTTTTTTTACTATTCCTTCCCTGTTCTATGGGAGATGTGGGAAAGGAGCAGGAAGGGGTGAAGAGGCATGGTGCAGACAGAATCACACATACAGAAGCCAGGTGAGGTGGCACCAAGGGTGGGGCAGGAGAAAGTGATTCACCCTGCTCTCCTAGCACCGCTCTCTCCTGATGATACCCAGGCCCCCATGCTCCCCCGCCCAGCACCTCCAGGGCTGGTCCTCCCCAGGCATCACCCCAGGGCTTCCTCACCCTCCGTGCCTGATTCTCAAAAGCCCCATCACAACACACCACAACCCACTAGGGGCACCTGGCAGGG